GCCAGCTTCATGCCCAACCTTCCTTCTTTACCAGTCTTCTTACTGGCTTATTGAGGTAAAAGAGTGCGTCGTTGGCCGAGGATAAAATCCCCGACCACATGCTAGATAGGCAAGCGTTCTACTGCTGTGCTATCGACGTACTATGACAGTACAACTGAATATGAAAGCAACACTCCGAAGAATATTTTATCTGAGGACGGATATCCTTTGAGTTTCATCAATGAATACTCTAAAGAAATTACCCCCAGTAAAACTGTCTAAACACTTTCAAATAAGGATAGATATATGTCAATTCAGCATTTAAAAGAGATGATGTACAAGAAGTAGTCAAACAAAAGCTCCATCAAGCTACTAAGAGAACTTATTATGCTGGAAGACCCTTCTTACTTAACACCATCAAAAAGTGGGTGTTTCAGAGAATTTGCAAAAACCAGAAGCCAATCCTTTACAATCCAAACTGCGTATATAAATTTGAGTGTGTGCGAATACATAGGTCGCACGGAAAGATGATCGTCTACTTGCAAGAGGGATTATATACGATAGTAGTTGAATACATTTCTGAAGTCAGAGTGCCAAAAAGTTCAATAATCAAAAGCATTTTCTGGCTCCTGAACATGATATTGACGCTGCCAGGTTATTCACTGCTGCCAGTCAGCAGACACGCAAACAAATAGGAAGATGTTTTCCAATGTCCAAGGCCTATGAGTTGCAGTTTATAAACCCGGTCTCTATGTACAAGACGAAATTGTGGTCACTCTGAATCTACTGTGGTAATATTTTTCACATAATAGCTCTTATTACTGTCGTTACCATTATCACAGCTCACTTTAAAATTATTATTAACGCCATTACTATTATTTGTCGATATTATTCAGTTCACAGTTCTTGACACATGAAACTTCTTCGACTCGTTGATTACTAATTGTTTATTTTTTTCCTTGACGTCCCCAGTGGAACATAGCGCTTCAAGCTAGTGGACTGGCTTTTCTGTATCAGTGTTTATTTTTAGAGGATGAAGTTACTAGCCAGCTTCATGCCCAATCTTTTCTCTTACCAGCTTTGTATTTCTGGCTTAGCGAGGTAAAGGAGTGCGTCGGCCGAGTATCGAACCCCGGACCATTTGCATGGTCGGCAAGCGTCCTAACCGCTGTGCCACCGACGCACAAAAATTGTTTATTTATGAGATGTAATTGAACTGTAGTGAATTTTATATTAATTTTAATCTCTCATACTCCCTTCCACTTCGTCTATCTGAGCACGACCTTAAAAGCATTCACATCTGTCATTTTGCTTTAACAATTCAATCTAGTTTATTAACTTATCAGTTTAATACTCCCCGTGTAATTTTAATGATATATATATATATTCCTGTGTGCCTGACTAGGTTCAGAATTAGAATGCATGACAAACACGCATGTAGTCAGGGATTCAATCCCCGGTCGGTTTTCTAAATCTCTTTTAACCAGTATTAAGTCAAGTGAAGAGAGAAGGTTGGGCGTGGGGGTAAAATTCCCATCCAGCACAAATAAAACCACTGCTACTTTGAAACCCTATGCTCTAGATGTTAACCAAGGGATAAAATAAAAGCCACTCGTCCTATTCACTTAGGTAGTTACCTGGGGTTCTAGTAAGAAGTCATGACCAGTAGGGTGCAGCAGATAGGGTATGAGGACAAATACTCCAAGAAGACATTGGCTAGTGGTCGAGCTGTCGTGAAATGTGAGAAGTTAGAAATCATGGGCCATTGGATAGGGTCCCAGTGGGTTACTGGTATACGAGCTTGCCTTGTAACCAGAAGGCCCTGGGTTCGAAACCCGGTGGGTGCGTACTGATGAAGAGTCCTAAACTTGGACGGGGAAACATCTGTCCAGTACTCCTTGGTGGTTTTCCAATGGTTCTCTAACCAATGACAGCTCATGATGAAATCCTGTAAGCAATCAACCAAATCCCTGCAAAACAACACTTGAATAAAATAATAAATAAATGAAAAATATATCTCTGTATGTAGAGTATTCAGCTGAGGAAGAGTTCTACCCAAAAATCTGATAAATTCACTATAACCTGATGATATTAATAGATGCAGGCAATCGAAATGAAGACTTGGACCAAGGTTTCGTGCTGGTTGCCACTCATCAGTCAGCAAGGCGTTGAAGGAACTCATGCCTATTCTGAGATTCGAACCCGCGTCAACTGGTGGTCAGGTCAGAGACGTTACCACTGAGCTATTCGGGCTCGCGATTAAACTCCTGTAAGACTGTAGTGGATGCTTTATAACCATCATATATCATATCAGGAAATAAATGTTTCCAAGGAAGAAATACTATTTCGCCATTATGGATAAGATTTTATTTTCATAAATCACGCACAGTGTTTACAGTAATAATAACTGATGACCATGTTTCGAGCACAAATTATTACTGCTCATAATCATATCAAGTTACTCACACACAACTGTTTTTCATGTATTATATACGAATTAAAGTTTAAGAGATATTTAGACTTTAATTCGTCTCGTCTGTTAACTGTTAAGGCAGGCTTAGTTAAATGTCTAACAAACCGAGTGGTAGCATAAATAGCACAAGAAAGATCTATAGATGAAGTTAAACAGGTAGAAAAGCGTTGGTGTTTAATAATTATCGTATAAAATTGATTCGGAAGATCGAAATAGGCCAAAAGCGAAATAAAAATAACTGTGAAACTATTAATAGTAACCTAAATAAATGAAAATATAAGTCGTCCACTGTTATACCATATAAAGAGGGGATATCTGAGACCCTACGTAGGATTGTTTAATAAAGCAGGAATTAAGGTGGCATTCAAACCTACAAACCCAGTCACTCAGGTAGGACAAGCTCTGTAGGTTAAAGGACCCTGTTGGTTGACACAATTAGACAAAATAATGTAATTTACAAAATACCCTGCAATCACTGAGTGAGTTCAACTACATAGGTCAAACTAGTAGGTCGGAGTTTTTTGGATTGTAGGAACATAAGAAGTAGCTAAGATAAGAATGGTTGACTTCGAGAGGATAACTAACTTAGAAAAAAGCTCATCAATTGCACTACATGCATTAACACACACAACCACACAATAGGGTGGGAGAGGGTTAAAATTCTAAAAAGTAACCTAGGTAGGTGGAGAGAGATATTGATTACCGAATCCTGGTTCATTGAGTCTACACCAAACACATGCAGCAGAAATCAATCACTCATACCAAAAATATGGAAGATATTATTACCGTCGGTCATATCAGAGGAGGATAATAAATTACGTTTAAATTCTGTTTCAGTTCAACCACACACAACATTCTAACAAGTTACTTATTATGACTATAAAACACTCGTTTTATTTCCTATCTGATCGTATTTATTGATAACACTAATGTTATTGTTTCTGAATGTACATTATCACATATTGATTTTTATTTTAAATATCTAGTCAATTCCACACATGTATATTATTATTATTGTTCCCTTGGGTTCCTAGTGGAACATAGGGCTTCAACTGCACGTCTCCACTGCTTCTGTCTTCCTTCTGCTATACTTTTCACCTGCATCCATGTTAGTCAGTACTGTTTCAACTCCTCTTCACACGATCTCTCCATGTCACCCTTCACTGACGTCCCACTCGCCGCTTCCCTTTCGGGTTCAACTCGAGCAGTGACCTGACTCGCGATGTTACCAACCGGCGAGTGTCCAGTTCACCTACACTTTCTCCTGCATATTTGTTGGGCAGTGATTGGTTCTTGTTTTGTTTGTTCCTTCCCATAGTTTCTTGTTGGTGATTTTTTCCGGCCCGGCCATATAATCTTCAGTCGGGAGCGAAGACAGTTGTTGATAAAGGTGTGCAACAGACTGTTAGAAATATTCTTTGTGACCCACCCGCCAAGTATCTGATCTGTATAGAAGAAATAACTTGACGTTTGTATTGAAGATCTCAATTTTGCTGTTGTTGTTGAGTGACGAAGATTTCCAGATTGATTTCAGTTGATGAATGTGTTCCTCGCCTTCCCCCCGATTCTCGTCGATTTGACATTCTCGTCCGTTCCTCCTGTAGTGGTATGATTATGATCAGTAATAATTTGTGCTTGAAACGTGGTCGCATCAGTTAATATCACTGTATAACAAACACACTGTGTGTGACAGTTTATCAAAATAAAATCTCCATAATAGAGCAGTTATACTCTACCACACCACAGTGCCCAAGTTTCTCTGTACTGATATCAACTACTGGTTTTGTTTTGAATAAATTATACGGATATTTTTATACATTCGACTATATCTGATAATCTCCTCTGACAAAATAAAAACGCTTAGTTATGCTAATAAACCTTTACAGAATATTTTCAAAAAGGTCTAGAATTTATTTCATTTCTTATAAAACTCGAGGCAATATAGTTACTGGATTATGCAGGATTTATTTTAGATATTCTGGATACATTTTGTATGCCTTTAAATTGATGATAATAGTAGATAGAATAGTAAGGTGGGATGAAAAAGGGATAATTCTTGCTTTTCTCTTTCCTTAGCTGTGGATTAAGCTTCTTTCTCGAAAAATATTTGTCTATGCTAGAGGCATTGATTGCCTGTGGTTAGTTATAGTAAGCGATAATACAAATAATACTAAATGGTCTAGATTAAATTACAATTATGAGGCATGCAGCCAGCATATATGGATAAGGGAAAATCCCCTATACTTCGAAAACAACGTATGACGATAATAAAAAAGAAGTAAGTAATAGTTTTCATCAAAAAAACTTGGAGGATCTGGACTTCGCTGATGATATATGTCTGATTTCCCGCAAACTGGAAGATATGCAGGTGAAAAGCAACAACATGCAGGAAGAACCATCCAGAGAAGATAGGACTTCAAGTGAACATAGATAAAACAGAGGTGATGAAGATTCCTGGTCAACACCAACAGCAGGAACAACAACAGACAACAATCAGCCGGCATAAATGGGAGGGACCTGAAAGAAACAACCTCCTCCACCTACCTACCTACCTACCAACCAGAGAAGCATCGTTTCAACTATAGGCGAATAGAGCTGACGAGGATATCAAAGCCAGAATCGGAAAAGCAAGACAAGCTTCATTACTCACATCAAGTCTGTGTGGAGGTCAACAGCACTCACCATCCGGATTTTCAACTCCAATGTGAAGTCAGTCAGTGCTACTATACAGATCAGAGACTTAGCCAGCGTGCCATAAAGAGCATCTCAAACAAAATCCAGACCTTCATTAGCAGTTGTCTTCGCTCAATACTCAAGATCAGATGGCCGGCCAGAAAAGATCAGCAACAGGGATCTCTGGCAATGAAGACTTGGAGCGGGATGAAAATGTTGGCAGAGAACCGAGGGCAATGGAGACGCGCAGCTGAAGCCCTATGTTCCTCTAGAAATTAAAGGATATAATAATAATAGTTCATCTTCAGAGAGACTGCCTGTTTGGGAGTTAATGATTCTCTTCAGCTGATGAGGTAGACAATATAAAGGATATGTTTTGGTGAAAAGCAATTAAATCAATGTATATAGTTTCTTATGTTTAATACTTATGGGTTTAATGTTTGTAGAAGGCTTTACTGCCTATTTTTTACGAGTCGATCACGGATTGATTACGTCAGTTAGAGAACCATTTAAAACTAGCCACAGGGAGTACTAGACAGCTGTTTCATCTTTGTCTGGGAATCATTGGCCCTACGCATGACCTTTTGGTAACAAGACAAGCTCGTATACGATTCAGACACTGGGACCCTATTCAATGGCCAGCCTATGAATCCTAGCTTCTACCGATTCGTGATCCAGTGAGACCCTAACAAATATCGTCGGTGGACATCCATCCTCACACATGACATCTGGATGGACGTCACTGGTCATGACTTCTCACTAGAACTTCAGGAAACTCCATTTTTGTAGCAAATCACTAGATAGCATTAGATAGTTGGTTTGTGATGGTTAGTTTTGTTTTCGCCAGCTGATCACGGATTAATATCAGTAACAGGACCATTTATATCCAGCCATAGGGAGTCCTGGATAGCTGTTTCATCCTAGTATGTGAATCATCGGCAGAACACACTCACTGAGGTGTTAGGCATTCTAAATATCTCAGATAATCTTTACTTAATTCAATCAAGACTTTCTTGTTAGTTGATTGGACTAAAGTGCTTGGCCTGTATTGAGATGTCACCCCCTTGCGCAGATGTTTCGACGGTATCTGATTATTTAATTTGAAGTATATTGATGGATAGTGACTAGTAGTGAAATCCACCAGAATGGCCATTCCATCCCATTTGAGACTCCTCGGCTACTGGTTTTGCCAGCTTTCCCCAGTTAGCGACAATGTTCCACCTTAAACTCGAACCCAGTACTCACGGTTTCAAACTCCAAGGAGTTATCCACCAGACCACTTATTCAACGAGCATCATTAATTATTTAATACAATTTGGACATTCTGGTTGACTGATTAAGAACATTATCACCCACTGGGAAATGAAGGTATATCCAGATGACTAGTCTCAGGTGGTACGAAATGCGCATCTTGTATTCCACTGCTAATCGCCACCCACCAATTTACCTCAAAATAATCTTTAAACCTAGAAAGGCATATGAACTTATCAATATGTATATTCAGAATTTGGGTTATGTAGGAATTCCAATTACCTTCTGTGTAGATTTTGTCGCAAACCCACCTCAATTTGACAACAACTGAAAACCAAGAGTCCCTTGATGACTGTTTTCTTCTCGTTTGTAGGCTGCTCATTGGTAGTTCACCTTGTCCCTTTTTAAGAAGATATTATCTACCAGACTGACTAGAGGTACTTCCACAGCGTGAATTGAACGAAGTTAGATTTCACAGAATGCTGCATTTTAATCCTCTGATTGAATGTCACCAAACTAGCCTAGTAAATGGAAAGTCATCGTAGGCTGAACCACTGGTGGGATGACGAGTGTAAACTGCTGCAGACTTTAAACGTTAAATGAAGGAATTATTCAACGCTCTTTGGTTCTCAGTGGATTTAAAAGTGATATACGTTCGTGACTAAATTCACGTTTAAACTGCATGCATATATATGTCGTTTGCATTCTGGGCATGGGTTTTGAAATTTCAATAGAGGTTGTATTGGTTTTTATGAGTTTCACTTTCTGGACTCATATCCAACCCTCCCTGTCTTCTGGCCTAGCTAGAGGATAGGCGAGGTTCAAGGGTATGTTGACTAGGAGTCGAACCTAGAAAACGGGTGCGGTTTGTATGGATTCTTCTAGCGGACCAACGGAGCGCTGCATTTAAATGATTTTCCCATTATTTATTCGTGTATTGGTCACGTATTTGCATTCATACTTACAATTCTTCGTTGATATATCTTAACGAAGTTTATCAGTATCCTTTTGGCATGTCGGGTTTTACTTACCCGATGCCTTAAAATTTACCTAAATAATTAACTCAAAGTTTTATTGTTCGGTAATAGCTCAAAGTGGAACTGATGATTTTGCATTTCGTGCTGTTTGAGACTGGTGAGTTAGTAAGTAACGTCTAGGAATCCGTGGAAATAGGTGTTAGTTTCAAGTCTTAGTGAGAAAACTACCACTTATTAAGGAGTAGACAGATTCACTGGATGGCAAGTTCAAATTAGGATAGAAACCACATCCTGGATACCACTCTAGGCGTTAACATGTTATTTTTTGTGATAAAAATATTTTCCTGATTTTCTAGAACATTTTTGGTTGATTTCAACATTTCTTTTCTAATTACTTGCGTTCACTTTGGTGTTATTGGTTGGTGAAAATGAAGCTGGACTGATGTAGGTTGTCATTTTACGTATTGATCTATTGTTGCTTAAATGAATTAAGGCCAGTATATAACAAGACGTTCTTCCTCAACTTTCACTAAATATAACACACACAACCTAAAATCTTTGCATAATTTCAATCAAGAATGTCACACATTAAACACTCATTAATGATACCATTTATATTTCATAAATTAAATGTTTTATTTTTTCGCTTCGTAGATGAGATCTGTGTGCAAAATGAACGTACTATCATGATAAGCATAAGTGAATTGAGGGTACAGTATTTTGTCATGGGTTGACACCGGTCAGAGAACCAGCGGAACACCTAGGAGTACTGGACAGCTGTTTCGTCTCAGTCTCAGTTTCTTTATCAGTACGCACCCATCGAGGTTTGATCCCAGAATTTTCCGGTAACAAGGCGAGCTCGTAGACCATTAAGCCACCTGGATTCGATTCATTGGCTCGAGAAACGCTAGATTCTTCCGTTTTGCGATATAGCGCAATCACTAGCCAATATCGTTAGGAAGTATTTTTTTCACACCACTCTAGCCAATGTCAGCTCATGATGAAATCCTATAAGAATTCACTCCCTGCAAACCAACAATTGAATAATAATTCGATGCTCACCAGTGATTGGCCCTATTCAGGTAAGTAATTATCTGGGTTCTAGTGGGAAGTTCGAGATGTATTTCGCCAAATTCTTACAACTCGTTTAATTCCGTATTCACAGTTGACATATGGTATTAGGCAGAGTGGTAACGCTAATCAAAATTTTAGAGGGACATTTCAGAAACATTTCGTTGATCAAAATTTCATCAAAATGAAGTTGCTTTGTGGTTTTCACGTAAGATAGGTTGAAATTAAGTCTCGATTGTTAAACACATTCTCAAATACATTTCGCTACAGTGTTTACGTCATAATGGAAAAGTTTTCTTCAATATACTACATACTGTTATTCCATATTGGATAGATTAATTTTAAAATATCACACAGTGATGCAATCTTAATAACTAGATGACGTTTTTAAAATAAACTATCGCCCACTATTATATGAATTTCACAATTTACCTGGCATATATCTTCCCCCTATTGTATCTCTCCAACTTTCCTTTGTTGTCTGTGCCCTCTTTACATATCCCCAGTACAGGCGTTGGATCATTCCTATCGCACTTGTGTGGTGTTGAATCGATAAACAAAGCTTCAGTAATTAATTTCTCCCTCACTTCAACTAACTATATTACTTTTTAATACTCTCACCCTGTCTCACCTACCTTATTTTGTGATAATTTGCAATTGAATACGATGCAGAACAATGGTGAGCTCTCTTTCTTATAGGTTATGTAACTAAGCAGGGTCGATTATTCTAGGTCCAGTTTAATTTTTATGTTCCAAAAATTTATTTGTATCCGATCCATTAGTTTGTCTGACCTGTATAATTGACCTCACGGTCACCATTACATTATTATTATTATATCCTTTAATTCCTAGAGGAAGATAAGGCTTCAGCCTCGCGTCTCCATTGCCTTCGGTTTTCTGCCAACATTTTCACTCCGTTTCAAGTCTACCCACATGCTTTCATCTCCTCTTCACGTGACCTCCTATGAGTCAGCCTTGCAATGACCACCAAATCACCGCTTCCCTTTCGGGTTCCACTCGAGCAATGGCTTGCCTAGTGATGTTACTTGATGGTTTGCTCCCTCAGAGTATGGCCAGTCAATCCATCTCCATTTCTTCCTGCTCATTTGTTTCACAGTCGGTTCCTGCTTGGTTGGTTCGTTCATTGCCAGAGATCACTGTTGCTGATCAACTCTGGCCGGCCATCTGATCTTGAGTATGTAGCGAAGACAGCTGTTGATGAAGGTCTGTTGTTTGTTTGAGGTGCTCTTTATGACGCGCTGGCCAAGTCTCTAATCCGTGTAGTAGCACTGACTTCACATTTGAGTTGAAAATCCGGATCTTATTTTTGATGGTGATTGCTGTTGACCTCCACACAGACTTGAGAGTAATGAAAGCTTGTCTTGCTTTTCCGATTCTGGCTTTGATATCCTCGTCAGCTCTATTCGCCTATAGTTGAAACGATGCTTCTCTGGTAGGTGGAGGAGGTTGTTTCTTTCAGGTCCCTCCCATTTATGCTGATTGTTGTCTGTTGTTGTTGCTGTTGGTGTTGACCAGGAATCTTCATCACCTCTGTTTTATCTATGTTCACTTGAAGTCCT